TGTCGAAGTGTCAGTGTTCAAAGGATTTTCCGGAAGAACCCTTCGCAGTGCTTTCGGGAAAAAGGAACAAGAGGGTTCGAAGTGAGCCTGCAAGATCTGAAAGTCTGGCTTTGCCGTTCTTGCAGCATGAATTGCAATGGCCAGCTTCTATGACACCTTGGGAATTCCGGTTGATGCCAACGTTTCGGAGATCCGAGCTGCTTACAAGCGCCGTGCATTGGAAGTCCATCCCGACAAAGGGGGGCACCGCTGCTGCGTTTCAGCGCGTCCTGGCTGCATTCGAGCAGCTGGTGGACCCAGTCCGCAGAAAATCCTACGACCAACGGAGGGCGAAGTGCAGGCTAGGCCTTTGTCATGACCCGTGATAAGTTGAATAGGATACTTTTTGCAGACCGACACGTCCTTTTAAGATCAAGGGGTTGATGTAAGGTATTGAACAAAATTTTAAGTCTTAAGTGTGGCAGTTTCTCGTCAGGCCCAGGCCACAAGCCAGCAAACCAACGCGTGGAAGCTGTCCGTCCCGGAAGATGAAGCCAAAGCATGAGAGGCCCAAGCAGAGCTTTGGACACTTCAGCAAAAAACGTGAAAGGCTTTTGATGAAGCTTGTGATGCTCCTCAGGAGGCTGACGGGCTTCGATCGCCGCACCATTTTTACAGAGCGACTGTCTCAAAGCCAGAGGCTGGAGCTTGAAGCCTTTATGTCGAGTCTTCCGAAAGAGCAGCCAGTCCCAGAGCACACATGTGACTTGACCTCAGATGTGGAAGACGAGCCACTGGCGATTGATGATGAGGACGAAAGATGTGAAGGGGTAGATCTCAAAGACGTGAAGGCCAAAGTCCGGACCCCTCGAAAGAATGGGCAAGGCATCACAGCCAAAGCTCAGAGCTATGATGCTTATGTGTCTGTCGAGTGGGTACAAATGAAATGCAAAGAATTGAAGACGTTGGAAGAGGCCATTGACATGCACATCCTTCTCACAGAAGTTGTGGAGCGAGTCCGCAATGACGAAACGCCTGGCATCAAGGACAGACTGCTACAGGCCTTGGACATCACTTCCAAGGAGCATGGGTTTTGTGTTGACACGGCAAAGATTGTGTTGAAGATTCAGGTACCCTCTACACATTGGACTGGCAGGGGACTGATGACCCCAGTGTTTCAAGTAAGCGAAATTGATGTGTTCGCCCAATTTTGGCTCAAGTTGAGAGAAGCTCGTGGGCATTCCACAGGCAAAGTGAAGATCGGGGGCAAAGGCATGGCATTCCGAATGACACCGGCTGAGATGGATGAGATTTGGTCTCGAGTCCGAGAAGTTTATTTAGATATTCGTGCCCACCGAGGCCACAATCGCGACGAAGTTGCGCGCCACTTGGATTACGTGGTGGCACAGCGTGCTCCCTTCAGGGAGAGAATCTGGCGAGCTTGGAATCTAGCAATGATGCAGAGAGCCGAACGACAGCAACGAGCTTACGAGTCTGGCCAGCGAGCCCAAGAGCGTCAGAAGAGAAAGTTGGAGCAATATGAAAGGCGTCGGATGGCTTGCGAGGATCGCTGGGCAAGATCTGCGTTGCGTCTTCAGAACGAACTTGAAAAGACCCGAAAACGTGTAGAGGTGCTGCTATTGGAATGGAACAGAAGCCACAAGGGAACAAGGAGGGCAGCTACAGCTGCCAAGACTGGCCGACAACAGGTGCAAACGCATATGTGGTCAAAAAGAATGACTGCAGCTTTGTCAGCCAGTTGCGTAGTTTATTGCTTGGCTTTTAAGTAAGTACGTACCTCTTGTTTCTAGAGAACCTGGGAAGGCAAATAGGATCAAATAGGCATGCACTAGGGGCCAACAGACTCCATCACTCATGATCTGAAATGGTTTTGGTGGATGGCCAGAATAACTTTTCTTCCGTGGCCAAGGCATCTGAACTCAAGGAAACTCAGACCACCTTGAAGCAGGCGCAGGTGCCTGTCCAAAATCCTGGAGTTGGGAGGAATTGACCAAGTGGTGAGCGTTACGAACACAGACTCAGAACACACTTGGTGCATGGAGTATACAGTATTGCACTACACGAGTCACAAGAGGACATAGCTTCAACTCGATTCGCCCCTTTCGATTTTGTTTGTGCCCTTTGGGTGATGCGAAGGCTGAAGCCAGCAAGGCGCGTGAGGCGGCAAAGCAGAGCCGGGGTGACGTGCTGCAGCTGGAGCAGGTGAGAAAGTCAGCTATCGTGGCAAACCAAACAGCATGGCTTCTAGTAGCTTCTTGTTACTAGTAGTAATGGCCTCCAACCTAATAGCGATGGCCTCCACCTATTAGCGTGTTTGCTGTTGACGAACAAAAGCCGCACCACTCACAAATAACACTGCCATAATCTGCCATATCATAGAAGTCTTCATTGGTCGAAGTACCAAGATGCCTCAAGAGTATAGTATAGGACACCTTCCTCGGGTACGAAAGCGCGAAGCAGCTTTATCGGCCTCAGACAAGGTCTTTTGCTACAGGTTCATGTTGGGGAAGCAGCACACTTCCATGGAAAAGACCACACAGCAGAACACTACTAGGGGCTCCTGGCCTTACTACTAGGAGCAAGAAGCTACTAGGAGCAAAGGGCATCGCTACTAGGAACAAGGACGCTACTAGGGGCTCCTTTCAGAGGATTGGCACTGGCACCGAATGCAGGAGATCAATGAACAGGTCTCTCAGGAGCCGACACCAGTCCAACACAACCTTGGCTGACAACTAGACAGACAGTATGTGCCACATCTGGCTACTGCATCAAACAGTGCCAGAAGACTGGGAAACTAGTGCAACATTGTTGGAGATCGTTTGTTTCTCGCGCCAAGCGGTTGTCCAAGGGCATTTCAGACGTGGTTCCCACGCAACATGCCTCTGTCCTTGGCAGGAGCTCCGAAAGGTGGTGGATCGCCTGGAGAGTTGGACCGAAAAGAGACGTGCACTCTTACAGGAGAGAGCCCTTCCAGGTTGCTTGCAACATCGAATGAAACATGAAACATTTTGACCTTCGAGCTACCTTGAAGTGCTGCTCCAGTTAGTTTGCAGAGGGGTTGTCGCAGTCTGATGAGGACCGTGAAAAGAAGACCAAAGAGAAGGATGAGGCAGAACGACAGGCGGAACACTTATATATATATATATTATAGTTTCCATGACTTTGCAAGTGGTTTTACCTGGTGATTGATTCTCAAGTTCTGCGTTGCACAGGATTCATGCTTGGCTTTGTTCTTGCTCGGTGTATTGGCATTCCACCGCATTGCATACAAGGTAGCAATGCTGACGAGCAAGATTGAAAGTACCATGCCCCGCCCGCAACGCAATGCCTTGAACGAGGCTTGGGCTGGGGTATTTTTCTGCCACGGGTGTGAGATCTTTTCTGGCCATGGCAGCCAAATCAACAAGTTCTTATCATTCTGAGCTTGAAAAGGGGTGGTAATGTGAACGCGCAAAGCTGTAGGAGTGTTTTTGCATGTTTTCCTAGGCCGAAGACAGACTTGTGCGGATTGATTTGAAGAGCAATCTGCAATTGACGAAAGACAGCTACTGCAAAGTTTATAGGTTCATCAGAAATTTGATCGGCACATGGCTGCCAGGTCCGGTCCTGGGTCTAGAACCCAGATGATTCCACAAGTAAATCATCTTACTTCCTGTGACAAGAGATGCAGTGTAAGCGTGATTCATATTCATGTTTGGACCCGTTAGCATAGGCGCCATAGTTTTAAAAGCTGGCCTTGCAGTGGGTTCAAGGGGATGGGCACCTACTTTCAACCTCCAACCACAAAAGGTGAACCATGCCCCATATGGACCCTAAAGACCCTAATAGGAAAGCAATCAAGACTATAAAAGATGGCCTCCAACCTAATAGCGATGGCCTCCAACCTAAGAGCGATGGGCTCCAACCTGGGAGCGATGGGCTCCAACCTGGGAGCGATGGCCTCCAACCTTATAGCGATGGCCCCCAACCTAATAGCGATGGGCTCCAACCTAAGAGGGATGGCCTCCAACCTGAGAGCGATGGGCTCCAATCTAAGAGCGATGGCCTCCAACCTAAGAGCGATGGGCTCCAACCTAAGGGCGATGGGCTCCAACCTAAGAGCGTTGGCCTCCAATGTAAGAGCTATGGGCTCCAATCTAAGAGCGATGGCCTCCAACCTAAGAGCGATGGGCTCCAACCTAAGAGCGATGGGCTCCAACCTAAGAGCGATGGCCTCTAACCTAAGAGCGATGGCCTCCAACCTAAGAGCGATGGCCTCCAACCTAGTCGCGATGGCCTGCGACCTAAGAGCGATGGCCTCCAACCTAAGAGCGATGGCCTCCAACCTAAGAGCGATGGCCTCCAAGCTGAGAGCAATGGCCTCCAACCTAAGAGCGATGGCCTCCAACCTGAGAGCGATGGCCTCCAACTTAATAGCGATGGCCTCCAACCCAATAGCGATGACCTCCAACCTAATAGCGATGGCCTCCAACCTGATAGCGATGGCCTCCAACCCAAGAGCGATGGGCTCCAACCTAATTGGGATGGCCTCCAACCTTATAGCGATGGCCTCAAACCTACGAGCAATGGCCTCCAACCAAATAGCGATGGCCTCCAGCCTAAGAGCGATGGCCTCCAACCTAAGAGCGATGGCCTCCAACCTAA